CCTACAAGCAACGTGTGACCATAGCAGTTCAATGTGTGGCCCACAAGACATTTTGTTTACCATTGCCTACACGCAGGGTTGCCGGATCCCGCTGGTTTCTGTACATGTAAGTTTTTTTCCTATTAATACCTTATAGACTAACTGACGTGTAGGTATTAATACAATGACACACACGTAAAGCAAAGGCATTTGAAGTGATTGCACACAACACTGATTCTAAGAGCTGTGTGCTGCTCCTGCATTCAATCAAAACACAGCTACAGTTCAGTCGGCAGAGTTCTGCAAATCCACAGATATTAAGCAGATATCTGTGGACAGGGATATTAGCAGCTCATTTTTGCTGATATTGATGCGGATACAAGTTTTGTACCTGGAACCCTGCAAATACCCGCAAGTATGCACAGCTGCAAGCGTCAATGCAGATATCAGTGGATTTTTGTGCATACAGATGAGGATGAGGATACAAATTTTGCATCCCACACAGGGCTCTATCAATTGCCACATCCCATAAAATCCAGTGCAGTTAGCAAAACTAGCCTACCCCAGGAGACCATCTTGGTTACGACACTCATCGTGGCCACTCATGTGGTCCACTCACTAGCCTAGGTTGCCCATCGCTGCCCTGCAACATGCTGTATTTTATATGTTCGTAGCACAGTGGACACTTACTGTGATGTGTAATGGAAGAGATACTCAATGGCAACTTACAGAAAAATATTGAAGAACAAACTTCTAAAATGGTGACAATTAAAATCTCTTTTCAAACTAACCCTATATTTAAACTGCAGAAGCTTCAGGGAGAAGTTAAATTTGCAGGTTTTCTTAAGCAAATAAAAGACAACAATTGTCTAGTTTGTATTTGTTTGCTTAAAAACAGTGGTATACAACGGTTGTATACAAATTTTAGAATGAAAACATACAAAACCCTAACATTATTTCCTTGTCAGAGCAGCAAGTGGGATATGTAAAACAGATGCCTAGAAAATAAAACATTGTTTTTTAATACTAGGTTTAAATGCTAGGGTCATAATCACAAGCTTTTAGTTAATGTCAATTGTGGCAAAATACCAAATAGCTTTTGCTGGAAGTATCCTTTTATTTCACAGTCATTTCAAATAATAATAATAATAAAAAAAGCAGTTCTCTTTCTTGGAAAAGACTTAGGATTAATGTAGTCTCATTTCAGACAGAACGTTCCATTATTCATGTTTCTTTAAAGGGGAAAAAAATCATACATTTCCATTCAATGACTTTTTGACAGCAATACCTTTCCTTAAGCATGTTACGAATTTCAAGATGCTAGTCCTTGCTGTATTTGTATGTATCTACTGAGCATCTCTACCATATTATTTCTTTGTTCACCACCTCTGCAACAGACATAGCAATTCTCTGCTGCGCTAAAAAGGACAGTTGGCCTTACTGGACATCTTGTCAATTTCTATGTGGTTCTCAGGAAAGAAAACTAATTCCAGTGCAATAAACTTAAAAAAAAAAAAAAGAATAGTCTGGTAGCACTTTAAAGACTAACAAAGGTATCATGCGCTTTCTGGGCACAGCCATGATGAGCAGTGGATGGAAAACAAGCCTCAGTTTAGTCACAGGAAGTAAGAGTGAAGCTTTACCATACAATGGTCTCAGAGTAAAGGGAGGCACACAAATATGTGAGACAGTGCAACACGCAGTGCTCAGTGTGTGTCAGGAATAGACACACTCCCCCTTAAAAGTGTCATTTCTAGAAGTTATTCTTCAGTGATCTGCAAGTGATTCTTTCTGTTTTGTACTCGGTGGCTTTTTTAATTACACTGCAAAAAGAAGAAACTTATCGGGGGACTCTCCGAGCACAAAAATATAATTTACCCAGTTGCTTCTTATTGAGACTGAAATCCACGCTAGTGACGGCATCTCGGTGGCCTTTAAAGTGTCTCTCCAGAGAGGGATCCTCCTGAATGGCAAGAGCACGGGCAAGCGTTACCGGTGACCGCTGCACAATACAAATACCCCCCCCC